AGAACTAGTAGTGTATTTCAGTTAAAAGTGTGTTAGTTAGAGGCAGGAAACTTACCTGTTTTGAAGAACTGAACAAACCTATCCTGAATAAGCAACGTTCAATCCAATTTTTTTACGATAAAGTTCATATATATACCTAGTAGGGTCGGACTAAATAGTTAACTGCTTTAAAAAATCAAGTTATATTAGAAGACAAAAGGGACCGGCTAAGCTGACGTACAAGTAGTAGGATATAGATTTTAACTACCAAGGTGGTAGCCGATAAGCTTGTGCGGGCAGACTGTAGTCTAAGACAACTTTTTAAGGATCTGTATAATTGAAGAATAACGGAGTAGCATATTATTTGGTTTTTGATAAATTTAGTAAAACCCCTCAGCTTGCCCTGGATAGAAACGCCAGAGACCTTAGTTTTTTGTTAGTGATATTAAGACTACTATTAGGCAGATATTAAAACTCATTCGATAAGAAAAAGAAAATTGAAATAAGTGAAACTCAGGCATGGCTTTTTCACAAAATCAAGATTTGGAAGGAGTCCTACCAACAACCAACCCACCGTCAACAGGAATATTCTCTGGCAATCAAAATGGTCAAAACATGAATATTGATCCACCACCTCCACCGATGAGCCATAATCGCATAAGGCATAACAGGACGTATGGAATTAACCGACACACACAATCGGCAAACACTTCAACCGGAAATCGACCTGGACCAGGAGGAAACCTTGGAAATGGAACTTACGGCATACCCGCGGAAAATGAAGAACCTCAAGAAATGGATGAACCCAGGCCGAGACCTGCGGTTATTATCAAGGAAGCGGACCTCAAGTACAATGGCGAAAACTTTGAGGATTTTTTGGACAGATTTGAACTAGCAGCAGAAATATACGGTGCTGGCGGCTTTGATAAAGCACGTCAGGTGTGTAGATTTGTGAAAAGTGAAGAATTGAAAAAGGAATTAGAGTCAATGGATGGCTATGATACCCGCAACTGGACAATCTTGCAAGCTAGCATGATGGAACTCTGGGGAGGGGCAATCAAGAAAATCTGTTACACACTCAAGGACCTTTATAATTTGATTGATTTCTGCCAGAAGAAAGGTGGGGTCAAAACAATTAATGACTTTAAAACTTATCAGTCAAAATTCATGATGATAACAAAGTATTTAGTCAGAAACAAACATATTATTAATGAGACCAGTGTCTCTCACCTGTTTTTCTTAGCATTCTCAGTAGACGTACAAACCAGCATTAACAGAGAATTAGTCAAAGCAGACCTCATACCCACTGGAAAGGATGGTTATAATAAGCCCCCTCTTTTGGCAGATGTTATTGATGTGGCTGAAGATGAAATTCGAGCTAGATCCATAAATGCATTTGCTGCAAGTGGTTTTGCTGAAGCCAATCACATGCTGCAGAGGAGTCTGGATCAGAAGAAAGGTGATGGCAAAAAGCGTGAGAAGATGGTAGAGGAAAATCCTCCCGAAATGCTGCAAAAACAGGTTGATAACTTGGCAAAAGCCATTGAAACACTTACTGGAAAATTGGAAAATCAACCAACTACAGAATATTCCCGTGGAAACGAACGACCAACTGGACGACTTTATGATCCCCGGCCCTGTGCCTACTGTCATAGGGAAGGACATTCAACTTACACCTGTTATGAGGCTCAAAAGGATGAAAAAGAAGGAATAGTCAAGCGAGATGGGCGTGACTTCTGTCTTCCAAATGGCGACAAAATCCCATGGAATCCTTCCAGACCAATTCAAACTGTAGTAGCAACCAATGCTGCAAAACCAAAACCTCAGATCAACTCAGTTTTCAGGATTAATTACCCTGCTTCATCGGAAATCAGAAGAGAAACTCAGGAAGAAATTGAATGTATAACTTCTCTCCACAAAATTGAATGGGAACCACCTAGAGTAGGATCTTCCAGTTCTAAGAAAATAAAACTTGAATCTAATGCAGCAACAACTCGAGCAGAAGCACTACGTGGACGACGCAAACCTCCAGCTGAAAAGGAAAACTCAGCAATGGACGTAGATCAGAACAATGAACTTGAAGAAATAATACAAGACATTCCAGCCACTCGGAAAACGCCAGGACAAATCTCGGGCCCTCAAGGAAAATCATCGGCGCAAAAAGGAGACAGGACAGCAGAATCAGCACTGCTATCAGAATTGGACAACTTAAAAATACCAACTACTTTTTCACAACTCACGTCAATTTCACCAACATATGCTCAAGAGGTTATCAAGAAACTCCAGAAACGACTCCCGGAACATCAAAATTCAAAATTAACCTATGTAAAAGAAAACACACTAGCCCCAAAGGTATCAGCATCAATGCTTCTCAATATGAATGAAGAGGATCGGGAGTATAACTGCTTCTACAGTTGTGCTCTAGGATACATTGACACTCATATATCTGGAAGAAAGGTACAATTTATGATTGACTCAGGTTCCATGGTCAATGTAATTCCAAAGCAAGCTGCCATTGATCTTGACTTAGAAGTTGTAGAAAGTTGACATACCTATGAAGGGTATTGGTGGAGATCGATGTGACATCAAAGGAGTAGTAGAAAACTGTACCATTAGTATTGGACGCTTTACAGGACCAGTACACCTTTTTGTCTCTCCACAAGCTCAAGATTGCATCCTTGGAAGACCTTTCTTATTTGATTACGATTGCACACTCAATTATCCGGGAACTGGCGAGTTACTATCTTTTCAAGGTGATAGCGGACGGCGTATAACTGTACCTATAGCAAAATTAGGACACGGAAGAGGATGGAATCAGCTCAAAAATCTCAATTCTAATTCAAGTCAAATACCAGTCTTGGCCATGAATCTTAAAAATGGCTTGCACAAAATTCCAGAATCAGTAGTCAATGATTCACCCAAAACCTTTGTAAAAAAGGGTTTTTGGGCCAAAAGTTTTGAATATATCATTAAAATAAATTACTTACTGACCTTAATTTTTTCAGCCTTTGTTTCTTTTACAGCATTTTCCTTTCAAGTTCTCAAGCTGGGATGGGCAGAAGTAGAACCTTTGGTCAAATTCTCATCCAGAAAAACAACCAAATTCCTTTTAGCCTCTGGGACCTATTTATACAGATCCATCAAATCAGTTATGATTGAATTTGGCACCAATCTGTTCAATACGGTGAAAAAGCATTTAGCAGATCAGAAACCAAAAACTCCTGATTACCCAGAATTGAAGTGGCAAGGATATCTTCCATCATTTCTTTCAGATCAAATCTCTAAATGGAAAAATAAACTTACACGGGACACACAGGACCTTGGAAAAATTCCACCAGATAAAATTTCAGAGGAAGCTTGCAAAAACATAGTCAAAGCCAGGATGGGCTCCATTATATACTTGGATAGAAAAATTTCCCATCAATTACGGCGGCCATTGGACCCAGGTGACATACTTCTAATCTACAAGAAAATTTTGGAAGATCAAGAGGCTTTCTTTAGATACTGGGACCAGAAAATGGAGGTACAATTGAAGCGACCTCTGGAACCTGGAGAACAACTTTTATTTTATAACAAAATTTTCAAGGAAAAGTTAGCTTTACATATCAAACACTTTTACCCACCAGAAAATGTTTTGGAAAAGATTTTAGAAAACAAATACAAACCAGATCTTGAGAATCATCAAAAATCAGGATATCACAATGCCAAGGACAACCCAGATAATCCAGACAAAATTCTTGATGGTCATAAAAAACTAAAAAGGATATCCAGGTTGCTTGGAATAATAACTAACTCCTGGGCAAGAGACTAAACTGTTCAACTGTTCAACTTTTCAACTGTTCAATTGTTCAACTGTTCAATTGTTTAACTGTTCAATCATTCAACTGATTTCAATCATCCAATTTTACAACTTCTCAATCCTCATTCAAAGTCACAAAAAAAAAAAAAAAGAAAGAAAGAAAAAGAAAAAAAAAAAAAAAAACTTATCAGTTCAAATTATTTAAGTTGGGGGAGAAAACTGTAACTTGTCACTTTTTTCTCCCATCCCAGCATTTTTTATCCCATTTTTTTTATCTTCTCTCAACCACTCATACCACTTTTTTTTGAAGTTATAGTTCTGTTACTAACCCAAGAATCTCTCCTGAAGGTTGAGGACAACCTCATAAGTTGGGGGAGGGGAACAGTATTATTTCTCTGGTCACTTCAACACTTAAAAAAAAAAAAAAAAAAAAAATCTTAATAGCTTAGTAATAGGCCTTTTTTTTAGCCTTCAAATCTTTCAACTCATCACCAAGGTTGAAAGTGGAGGGAGGAGAAATATTCATGTTTCTTTTCTCTAAATATCACCATTACATCATTCTATATACTTACACTTTCATTTCAGTCTTTTTTTTCACTCAAGTCTTTTTTTTCAGCTCCAATCAACAACAAGCAAATGACAGCGATGGGCAGATTCCGATTCGATTTCTAGTGGATTATTAGCTTCAGGGGATGAAGAAAGAGAACTTGTCAATTCCAGGTTGCTCGCTTCTGAACCAATACAGAAAAAGAAGACGATGAAGGCATTGCGACTCAACTTGGACAACCTCGGATCGATGGCAGGTCTCTTGAATGGAGGATAGATTTATAGGATCGATGGTCGATCGCTCCAATCAAGGGCAGAATTATCGGATCAATGGTTTCTTGCTCGGATCGAGGGCAGAGTTATTGGACCGATAGTTGCTTGTGCGGATCGATGGAGGTTGGCAAAAAGGAAAGACTCGGCTGCAAGGCCCCCTTTTTATAACGCTTACAGTACCCAAAAATCGAAACAAAGAAGAGAATAAGCTTACCTAACCACTGAGAACGACCGACGCGACGCCCTACACCCCCGCCGTGGGTCGATCCTAGCCAATCGCCTTGCTTGGTTCGAAGGATAGAAGAAAAATATAACGATCCGACGAGTCCTGACCAATAGAAAGGCAGGACTCAGTTTTGATAGAACTTGCGAGAAGAATGAAAAAGAGGTACTCACCTGTCGCGGATGCATCGCAAATCCGATCGAAGAGCTTGGAAGAATCCGGATGCCAGGATCGATCGAGGATGTTGGCCTATGTCGGGGGTATCGATCAAAATTTGAACTGGCTGGTGCCCGTAGTCAAGTGAACTCGGACGCGCGACGAGCACGCTGCTGCGCTACTGCGGCCGCAGGAGGCTTTTTGCGTTAAACACTGCATTACTTTTTTTCTTTTTAAACAAAACCAGACAAAAACTGGTTCAACAAAACTAAACTAAACAAAACCTGGCAAAACCAGGTAAAACCAGGCGTCATCATATAAAACCCAGACAAAACCAGGTAAAACCAGGTAAAATCAGACATAAACTGGTGAACCCAACAAGCAAGAGGGTTAAAACCCCTATATAAGCCAAACAAAACCTGTTTGAGGTCAACACAACAACAAATAACATAAATAAATAAAAAAAAAAAACTCAGCAACAAGATAAAAATCAAATAAAATAAAAATAACTAAAAATAAAAGTAAAAGAAAACAAAACAAAAATACAAAAATATATACAAAAATATTAAAAATTGGCTGTTTTTCCTTCAAAGTTGGGGGAGGAAGCCAATCCTGGTTAACCACCTCCCCTACCAGTCATAAACAAGGAATAAAATTAAAAAAATTTCACACTTTATCAATTTCTCTGCTTCAAAATCTTCAAGTCTTTTCATCAAACATTTCTTTCTCATAAAGATCAAAAAAAAAAAAAAAAAAAAAAAAAAAAAAAATCTCAACATCATAAAATCAAAATTCTCAACATCATCAAACTCGAAAATCTCAACAAAACACAACTCAGAAGGCTATCTTGAAATACCGCAAAACAAGTCATCAACATGAATCAACAAACATCAAACCACAAAACGCACAACTACTCAAATTCACAACAACAACCACACCAGCAATAAAAATCCAGAGCTCCTGAACACAAAATCAAGAAATAACACCTCTGGCACTTCAAAAATAAATTAACATCTTCAACCATCACCAATACTCAATCAAGAATACCAGTAACTCTCCTAAGTCA